GCGACTCGGCTCGGTCACCAGGGTCGGCTGCGGCGGCCAGCACACTGTGGCGCTCACAGGTCAGCTGCAGTGACGGCCCATACTAACCGCAAGCGTGCGTCCGGTGTATCTGTCCGCTCCCGGCGCTATGTCAGGGGGCTTGCGACCGGATTTACCCGACGGAACTATAACTTTCGACTTTTGACCCGGGTTGCGGGATGTGTTGTGTAATGGATTGGAAAAATCACAGTGTATATGTTGCGGGCCAAGTGCGAAGGCTAGTCCATTCGCGAATGGCCTAGTCCAAGTGCGATAACGCACTTGGACTAGGCCGTTTGCGAATGGACTAGTCCATGTGCGTTATTGCAGTTGGCCTAGGCCGTTTGCGAATGGACGGGCGTTTATGCTCCCAGTCCAAGTGCGAAGTCAGGCAAAGTGCGAAATATCCAGCAAAGTGACGTCAACTTGGCAAGTCAACTTGGCATGTGCAAAGTCCCGTGTGAAATGATGCATGCAAAAGCGCGAAAGCGATGCGTGAAAAAAGCCGCACCGTCCCGGTACACCACACCAGAGCAGAATGAATCGAGCGCCACAAACTCGACCAAGGTCAGGTCGGGTCATCAGCGGGGAGCCCGGAGCACGGTACTAATGGTCTCCGCACACCACGCGACTCTCCGCTGTTCGAAGGTCACGGGGATATTTGACCTCCCCAGATCCAGATCGGTGGCCGAAGCCTGGCCAGCGGCAACACGTTGCTATAATTTCCGCGTTGTGCAGGGTTCAGCGGAAAGTCGCATCCCGAATGGACCAGGTGTGTGGAGACCTTAACCCTATTAGTGGCAGGGGGGGGGTTGTTTTTATCCACCCCTCAGGTTTTTCGGGAATATCTCCGAAACCGCTGAAGCTACGATGCTAAAATTATCTGACTTTTCCTAAAACTAAATTGGGCACATTCCCTGAAAATTTCAAGTTCATAACTTTACCAGGGGCGGCTCCAGAGCACTGGGAATTGGGGGGTCCTATTCGTGAAGCGAGTCATTTGGGCGAAGATCACGATGCTGCACCAGTTTTACGAACAGTGAATGAAAGGTATCATGTGATAACATATACAAAGTTATTGTGCATCCTCTTTTGACACGTTTTTGCTATAATAGGCGGATCCAGGCGTCCAAAAAGGGGGGTTATTTTTTACCTCCCAACATAGGTGCCCTGACACCGCCTATGCATGACCAATACAATTTTAGTCGTTCTCTCATAAGAAAATTGTAACATAACAAGACCATTGCCACCCTTTTTAGAAACAGTACCAACAAAAACCTTATTTACTATACTTTTTGTGTACCCCCAATCTCAATGATCTGTATCCGCCTATGATTTTTGAAAATGCATATTTTGAGGATCCGTGTGAATTCCTGGTTCATTCTCTATCGATCGGCAAAAGTTGCGTTAAGATTGGTTCAGAAACCTGGCCGTGATAAACAGTCTAAAATGTATCTGCAATTTGCCCGTTTTTACCCCCCTCTACCCCCCCCCCCCTATTGACATTTTTTAATTTTATTTTTTTAGAAATGTAGATCTCGTTGAGCCAAATCGAATGCCGTTTGAATTTTGAAAATCGGCCGGTTAGATCTCGAGATATCAAGGGGGGGTCGTAAACAGCCCCCCCCCCCCCTGCCACTAATATGGGGTAGCCAGGAGCCTGCCACTAATAGGGTTAACCCAGAGTTGCGCCAGCTCGCAGATCTGCTCCGGAGAACAAACTAAACATATAGACGCAGTGGCGTCGCCACGGATTTTCGACTAGGGGATCTGGTCGGACGGTCAGTCAAAGTAATTCCCACCAAATACTGAAAACTCCTCGGATTTATTTTAAATATTGAATTGTTGTACTGGGACATGGTAAATATTCAGAAACGAATTATTCGACACCAGTAATATGTATATGATCGGTAGCTTTCGGGGGCTGCTGCCTCCTTCATCAGCCTGCTTTTTAAATGCATTAGAACACAAGACAATACGTTTCAAGCATGTCTACCAAAAAGTAAACCGCCACGAGGAAAAGTTGTAACGGTACGTATCAAGCATGGATGCACAAAACAGTTTGATACATGATAACAAATAATAACACATAATTAAGTCGCCATCGTCCGTAACATCCGTAATAAAACATTCGACATTAATTGTGATCCGTGGTCGTAACAAACGAGTTCGTGATCCGTGGCCGTGACAATCGAGTTCGCACAATCGGGGTCATGACACATTAATCGAGTAACAATCGAGTTCGTAATAATCACGAACTCGAACGTTACGACCACGGATCACAATTAATGTCGAATGTTTTATTACGGATGTTACGGACGATGGCGACTTAATTATGTGTTATTATTTGTTATCATGTATCAAACTGTTTTGTACATCTATGCTTGAGACGTACCGTTACAACTTTTCCTCGTGGCGGTTTACTTTTTGGTAGACATGTTTGAAACGTATTGTCTTGTGTTCTAATGCATTTAAAAAGCAGGCTGATGAAGGAGGCAGCAGCCCCCGAAAGCTACCGATCATATACATATGTATTACTGGTGTCGAATAATTCGTTTCTGAATACTCCTCGGATTTAGACAATTTTATTTTGAGAATGCACCAAAATCGTTTTTAAAATATTTTATTTTATTCTTGATCGATTTTCGTGGCCAAAAGTGTGTGGGGGAGGGGGGGGGGGGGCGTCGAACCGGCATATTTTCAAGAATGTGTGTGTGTGTGGGGGGGGGGGGGGCGGGTCCGGACCCCTCCGACCCCCCCCCCCCCCGTCGGCGACGCCCCTGCATCGACCAGCGGTCCCCCATTCATTCGGAATCGTACCCCAATCCGAGGATCCATGCTTCCGGCGGCTAAGTGCAACGCCACAAACCCGTCCGTTCGCAAACGGCCTAGGCCATTCGCGAATGGCCGGCCATTCGCAAACGGACTAGTCCGTTTGCAAACGGACTGCCATTCGCAAACGGCCTAGTCCATTCGCGAATGGACTAGTCCGTTCGCAAACGGACTAGCATTCGCACTTGGCCCGTAACATATATAAGCAAAAAAGTATGGAAAAATAATATACATACGCAGAGCTGATGAGTCTCGTGATTGATTTCAAATCGGTCTGATGTAGGCGAACATGTGAACGTGGTGTCATGCTTAGCATAAAAGCTAATATTACTTTCGATTCCATTAAAATAAACGTTATAGGTACATCCCACCGCTAAAGTAATGTGTGGTTTTACCAATCTCAACGGATGGCTTTGACCGACGATTTTTAAATGCGGACTGATTGAAAAGAAGACGTCAATAGATAAAGTTGTAGCTGCAAGGGTGAAGATACATGTAAGCTGCATTTAAAGTCTCGTTGCAGTCTGGCTAATCGTTCCTAGGCTTCAGAAGCAGAACATACCCATGACTGAAACCACACATTACTTCTGCTGTGGACTGTACAAATATACCTACATTTGATATTAGATGAAGCAAATATTCATGCAGCATATCGGCACTTTTCGACCCGTTTTCGACCCGTCTTTACCCTCTCGGCCCGCCGCTGCAGAGTCGGGCGAGGTGTGGTGTTTCGGCGGCGGCAGCCAGGGGCAGCTCGGCCTGGGCAGTCGTCTCCTGACGGCCCCCACACCGCAGCTGCTCAGTCTGGGCCAGCTGCGCGCCCGGGAGGTGGCCGCCGGCCACTGCCACTCCGCCGTTGTCACAGGTGTGTGCCGTGGTATATTGGTGCAGATACAAGAGGTCGGCAGGTGATCAAAGGTAGGTGACGAACACCGATTAATATAGTTGTGCATCTGGCAGCACCTATACGGTATATAGAAGATGTAGATAGTGACGGATCTGGCATGACTGTTCAATGTGTTCTTATGCTATGTCTTATCTTACAGCAGCATGCAAATTGTTGGTCATGCTTGGGCCTTACCTACCAGGCCTGAATAAGACGACTATACAGCGCCCATTAGACGTCACATTCCTACCGATTTATCCAGTGTAATCGCACACCTGTTCAATTTCCTGCTGACAGAGGACCACCAGCTGCTGACGTTCGGCGACTCGCGTCACGGGAAGCTCTGCACCGGAGATGAGGAGAGCAACGTGTTCACTCCCCAGCCTGCCAGCGAGGTGCGCCACCTGCACGTCGCCATGGTGAGTTAGCGGCACCAATGGCTGGTTAGGTACCGGTGTGGTTGGGAGGCGAGCCTCACCTAACTGGGGAGCCGGAGCTACTGCAGGCTGCTATGGTGTAGGAAGTCGAGTCCCTTGTCACCAGGCTCAGAACGGCACTGGCAGGCTGGTGTCGTTAGAGCGGAAGTTAAATGGGTCCCGTACCGTTTCGAGGAAGAAATCGTAAATGTCACCCTTAGACCGATATAAGATATCAGCCGAGACAGGAAGCGGAAGCCGGGCTTTGAATCACCCTCAGCTGCACGGGCACCGCTGGTCGGTGACCGTCCTAGCGCGGCTCGACAGGTCGTCCTGGGCGGCTGCCAGACCATGGTACTGGTGGAGCGCCGGCCGGTATCTCCTGGACGGAGGAGCCCGCAGCAGCTGATCGCCAATGGTCTGCCCCCGCCCTCGGATGACGTACACAGCTCGGCCCGGCAGCGCCGCAGGGAACGAGAGGTCAGCTAGCCTGCTGGGGGTGTGTGTATGTGTGTTTGTGTGTTTCTTTTTTCTTACTTATACTTGCCTATCTATGCACTACGGTGTTTGCTCATGAAGGCATGCATATCTGGTGTGTATACTAAACTTACAGTTCGTTCCGCTCGGTTGTGTGGCGAACGCAGCACGAGGTCCGTTCCGTAGGGGTCAGGCGATTCTTCGTCGTAACTTTCGACAATTTGCTCGATTATGATGCTTGTAGCTATCATAGCTAAGAGGAATTAACATGTGGTAGCTCATTTACCTTGAGCAACTTTGGGCGAACTTGTCCCTCTCCGATTTAACGGGACGTCTCAAAACCACTACGAGCAATTCAGTAAAGTATCGACTATCGAGCCTGGTAATGTTTCTTTATGTGCGGACCTGAAAGTTCTTTCACAATCAGCGGCACCATCTTCAATCGATGATTGCCATGAGAAATGCATTGGATGCAAAACACATCACACGACAACAGTACTTGATTCAATTAAATCTATGAGCTTTTGGCATCAACATACACAACACACCAATGCACAGTTTTGGTCGAACGCGCACTAAGCACGAATACACTGTTATTGTCCATAGATATCTGCGATTCACCGCCGCACCCAAATCAGCTCCCATATAGTGGCCTTTTCCTCTGCCAGTCCGGGAATCCTGCGGCGCCGCGGGTTATCAGCGTCTTCCCGCGAGCTCACCAGACAGAATCCCAGATCGAAGAGCTGCCCGAACGTATCGTAGTACCAGCTCAGCATGTAGTTTCGGTTTCTCTGCGAGGTCTCCTCTATTCCGGCCAGGTCGTTGAAGTAGACGACCATGCCGAGCTGTCGGACCTGCCGCAGCGCCTGCTCCTCCTCTGCGTCCAGCCAAGTCCACTCGGCACCCACCACGTCCACGCGCAGGTAGTCTATAGCACGGCCGGCGTGTCCCAGTTCGCGCAGAGTCTGGCCGAAGGTGGCCCGGTGCCAGCCGGCCTCGCTGGTCTCGTTCTCACCGGAGAGCGCGCGCCGGTGGAAGGTGATACCGGCCTCGCCGCGCCCCTCGCCGGCCGGCCAGCGCGGGTCGAACGCGTGCACCTCACAGCCGCGCGCCGCCAGCGCTCGCTCGAAGCTGAGCTCGGCGGAGAGGCCGAACGAGTAGACCAGACAGCTGCGGCCGCCGGGAGCCAGAGCCGGGTCCAGGCAGAAGGGCGGGTCGCGCGCCCCGGCGTCACCCAGGTGCTGGCAGCACGGCTCCGGCTGCTCCAGGTAGGAGAACAGCGCGCGGGCCGTCTCGGCGCCCTGGCGCCACCGCTGGCTCAGCAGGTGCGAGATGATGGCACCTGTCTCCGCCACCCCACCGGCCGGCAGGAACCTGGCAATAAATAGCATTACACGGAGCATCAGCATGGGAGGATATCGGTATGTGTGCTCGTGTAACAAAATGACAGATATGGCCTGTGGGAAACATGAGCATTTTAGCATTTAGGTAAGTAGTGGAAACCATTGCTTTCCTGGACACAGTAGAGCTGTGTAGTGATCCTTGTTGGCAATTAGCTCACACATTGACCTCAAACATAGACGGTGCACAGAGGGACTCAGACAAAGGCATACAGAGGCTCAGAGGAAACAAAGTACCTATTGGTAACATTGTTAAGTGCTCTAGCGCGGAACATATTGAATAGGCATAATTAGATAAGTAAAAGAAATTGACCTTTTCCTCGACATTAAAAATGCAAAAAGCCGAATAATGTATTTTAACCCGCGCCCCACTGGGGGGGGGGCTATTTATAGCCCCCCCTCCCGTTTTTCTGCAATAACTTCCAAACCGCTTGACGAATCGACGCCAAACTTTCAGTACCTTCGGCTGCATCAATTTGACACCTTGTGTCAAAATTTGAACTTCGTAGCTACCATAGGTCGGCCGGAAATGACGTCAGAGTGACGTCATGTTCGTCCGATTTCGACGCAAAACATTGAACCACGGCAATCGCTCCCAAGTGCTCAGTTTTTAAGCTAGATCCAATTTCTTTGCATGAAGGAACTCAGAATTGACCGCGCTATCAAACTGCTATCTCGGATTTTCAAAATTTTGAAAATTCCGAAAATTTTATATAATAATATTCAAAATTTATATTTTTATATTTTTTTTCAAAAACTTTTTGACTTTTCGAAAAAACCGGAATATAGGTATGTGACAGAACGCATGATTATGACTAACTCTAGCAAGTTTTAGCTAAATATCTTCAAAAATGGCCAAGTTATACGCATTATTGCAAAAAATTCACAATTATTAATTTTTCAAATCAATTTTTCAGTACGTATTTGGCATCGTACACCAATATAAATGGCACCATCGTGTTCCTGAGCTCAAACTGCATCCAATAGACACCTTTTTTGTTGAAAAGTTTCAACTTCAAAATTTGACCTTTTTTGACCTGAAAGTGACCTGACCTAAGCTAATTTCGACTCAAAATGACCTTGAATGACACAGACGACATCAAATTCGAAATCTATGGCCTAAATGGACCATAAAACATGTGTCACGTGACCGACCCATGATATAATATTTTCGTGACCTGTGATGACCTGACCCTGACCTGAAAATCAAAGTACAAGTTTGGTACCCTCAAGGTATCTAGAGCATCTGTTCACGAGTGTGGAAACCAAAAATGAGCCTGATCTGACTTGTAAGACGGCGGCCAGAGCCCAAAATGTGAACAAGCCAAAGTGCTAATAATTTTTTCTTTGACCTGACCTGTGACGTCATCGGTGACCTGGAGGTCAATGAAATTAGGTTTCGCTCGACAGTTTTTCCGGGGCTATCAGACGCCGTTTGAATTTTGACGATCGGCCCAGTAGTTTCGGAGTTAGGAGGGGGGGCTATGAATAGCCCCCCCCCCAGTAGGGCGTGTTATACACAGACCCCAGTGGGGCGCGGGTTAATGTCGTAATTTTATTTGCATTTTTAATGTCGTGGAAAAGGTCAATTTCTTTTACTTATCTAATTATATACAAAATACCTTTTAGTTGATCCTGATAGGTGAATGCGTTCTATATCGAAGCGAAAAGTTTGCCACCAATAACATTAGTCATCCAACCACCCACCGTTTGCTGATCGGTTGCTGCGGCTGCTGCTGCTGAGAGGTTGAGCTGCTGATGACGGCGTGCTGGGCGGACAGGAGGGTCAGCAGGCCCACGCCGAGGGTGGTCAGCGCTGCCGCCAGCGCTACCCGGTTCCGGCGGACCGAACGCCACGGCACACTGGCCACCCACTGGCCAGGGAGCGCCATCGCCGTCCCTGATGGAGCGGGGCCGGGCAGGGCGAGGTCAGGGTCGTGGTTAGGTCGGTGGTGTGGGCAGGGCAGGCAAAAGTTAAATCGGTATCTCGGGCTAAAAACTTTAAACATTTTTGCAGCCATTGACGATATTCGATATAAATATTTATTATCCGTTATTGAGATGTTACTGGGCAAAGGCAAATTCTGAAGGAAGTGCAAGAAAATCCCGTTTTTTCTTGTTTACCTTAATTTTATAGCCTTGGAATTAACATTGAACAGCATGCACTCGGTCCTACTGGACATTTTTGAAAGAAATCATGCGCGCGAAAAACGCCTCTTACCTTCAAACAATTTTCAACACCGTACGATGCGTTTTGAGCCTGGGGAATCACAAAGCAGCACTGCCTCTCCCCGTGCACTGCACAATCACCATGTGACGGCTCTTCTGGTCGTCCATCCGCCGCGCCGCCGCCGTCTATCCCGGGCCGCCGCTGTGTGCTGCCGAGAGAGGAGACCGGTGCGCCCGACCGGGTCGGGCGGCGGCCATCCCCACCCCACGGTCAGGGCCAGCGCGGGGTCAACGGCCCAGCGGCCGACGGCGCCCCGACGGAGGATGGCGGGATGACGCTCGGCCTGTCGAGCTGACGGCCGCAGATGCTGGTATATAGATGTCGCAGATGCCTTCCGTCTGTCCAGCTCCGTATAAGGAAACTCACCTCATAATTGTGCATACCTACCTCAGTCAAAGGGGGAAATATACCTATGGAAACTGTTGCTTTGGCGCCGGGAATGAGCTAAATCTACCTCTTAAGCGCATATAATTGTGATTTCAAGCCGTGCTTGCAAGGTCCTTGTTTCACTTTTGCGTCGTTTGACCTTGCGTGACGCCATTTATGACGTAACTGAGGTAATGGGAGTAAGACATTCGTCAATAACTCCTGATCAAATTGAGCTGGCGAGTCAAGACAGAGCACCAATGGACTCGGGAAACCTGCTGAATCGAATGCTATGCGTTTTGAACTCCTTTGACCAGCTTCGTCACCTGAGTGGCTGACCTGACTCTGATCCGAGGTCAACACCATAAGGTGACCTAACCCAAGCAAATAGTATATCATTCGACTCGCCTGAGCATGGCGAACACAATGGTGCCAAAATCGTGGCTCTGATACCTTTTCTGGCGAAGTCGTTTACCAACAACCAAACCCATACCTACCTCTGTGGCACTTGACATTCCCTGAGAGGTCACCGGTCGACCTAAGACCTTAAAATCGTGTACCTACCAGATAGCTGCGTCTTGTAACGGCGCATACGCTCCCTCGCCTTTTCCAAAAGGCTTGTTCAAGTGGGACGAAACGGCGAGAGGATTTGCTTGGAATCTGCTTGATTTTAACCCTCGCCGGCCGAGGGGGGGGGGGGCGGGTGCCGCCCCCCCATAGGGTTTTTTCGCGATAGCTCCGAACACGCTGGCGATAGAGAGCTGAAACTTGGCATACCTGACCTTTGATCCAAGCCGCATCTTTTGACACCAACCGCATTTTTGGGTCAGGTCAGGTCACTGACCTATGACGTCATAAGTGAACCTCTGCACGGTCTTCAGATGTCGCAACTTCGCAACGCCCTCACTGCCAGAGGAGATGTCACAGGGAAATCAAACTTGCAGGATCTTGTATCCATTATGAGTCTCACAACTTGTATATCTCGGATTTTTCCTAAAGGTCATATGAGGTCAGGTCATTTTCGTGACCTCACCATAATAAGTCAATGGGGAAAAATGAAAACTGCTATTCTGGCGCCGGGAACGATCTCCAACTATCTCAAGCACACAGAATCGTGATTTGATGCACTCCTTGCAAGGTTAGATGCGTCACTTTTGCAATGTTGACCTTCCGTGACGTCATTTATGACGTCATCAAGGTCATATTAGTTTTTCGTCAATAACTCCCGATCAAATTGAGCTAGCGAGTCGAGAAAGCCACAAATGGACTCAGGAAGACCTGCCGAATCGAATGATATGCGACATGACCTCTTTCGACCAACTTCGTGACCTGGAGGTGCTGACCTGACCTTGACCTGAGGTCAACACCTCAAGTTGACCTGAACCGAACAAAAAGTATATCATTCGACGCGCCTGAGCGAGGCGAACACGATGCTGCCAAAATCGCGGCTCTCCGGCCGTTTTTTGCGAAGTTATTCACCAAAAACTGAACCGTACCCTGGGGCACTTGACCTGACCTCAGAGGTCACCGGTTGACCTAGGACCTTAAAATCGGGTACCAATCTCTGCGTCTCGTAACGGCGCACACGCTCGTTTTTCCGCGACGCGCTAGCTCCACCAGGGGCGAAACGGCGAGGGGGGGGGGGGGGTCGTACCCGCCCCCCCCCCCCCTCGGCCGGCGCGTATGTAAAAAACCAATAGGTCCGGCGAGGGTTAAACAAATTACCTCTAGTGATCTCACAGTAACCTTTATTGTAGAACTTGATCAGACAATAAGGTTGGCATTTGTCTAAGCTGAACACCACAAAGTAGGTACTTAGTAGGGCTGGCGAATGGCGATCATCTCCAACAGGCCTTCCTAGGTGTTTAGAGCAAAATGGATGTGGACGGCTTCGTCCTGATGATAAAAAGGACGGATGCGGGCATTCTCTGTCCTGCTCGCAGCTCGGCGTCTCCTATATGCTTGCCAGATGCCCGCGGTGTGGAATTAGATGCTCGTTGATTTTATTCCTCGGGAGCAGGCTCATTATTTTCGAGTGAGCCAGCCGAAAAGTCAGGAAGAAGAGCAGCCCCACATCCACCAGGGATGTGGGGCTCTCATCCACCTATGAGAATGCGACATTCCTTGTGAGTTGGGCCATGACCTTTGACAACCGTCAAACCTTCGCCAGTCATGCTCTCGTGTGTGCTGCAAAGTGCAAGGCCGTATACCTACATAAATTAGGTGTGCTGTGTGTCCTCCAGTCCTGCCACCTCCCCCAGTGGCGGCCGTTTTTCACAGCTCTAGTACTTATTCTTGCCGTCAGATGGCTCTACATACACGTGGCCGGACCCTGCCGCCGCTGAAGGGCAGCTCTCGGCAGCTCCTCTCGCCGACCGGCCAGGAAATCATGCTTCCACCGAGCTCTGCACGAGGGTCTGCAACAAACGGGGCCAGTGGCGAGCAGCAGTCGGCGTCCTCGCCAGCCGACCAGAAAGATGAACAGGTATCGGCGCCTGGGCAGCTGCGGAAGAGCCCTGCAGTGTCCTGGGCTTACTTCGGCTTAGAGAGGACATATACCTAATTTTAAGACTTATATTTCAGCCACCGCTGAGACGGTTGACTCGCGTTTTTTTTTGTAGTAGAATAGCTCTTTTATGTTAACCCGCGCACCGACGGGGGTCTGCGCCAACTTCGCACCGACGGGGGGTGCGGATGACCGCCCCCCTGAGATCTCAAGAACGAAGCAAGATAGCGACAAGCGGCAAACGGCATCGGATACGCACGGTCAAGATCTACAATTTTTACTAAGGTCATTTTCAGGTCAGGTCAAAGATGACGTCACAGGGGTCGAAAAAGTCAAAATGGCGGCGCTAGATATGGAGAGAGTTTTTCTCGAATAACTTTCGAATTAGTCAAGATAAGAACAAACTAAGGGCATCATCGTGATCCTCTCGTCAATCCGCATCGAATGATATTAATGTTGACCTCGAAAGGTTAAGGTCAAAGGTTGACCTCAGGTCACGTGACCTCGAGGTCAGCATGCATATCATTCGATGCGTCTTGACGAGCTGAACACAATGAGACCATCCATATGGCTGTATCTTGTTCCTGTACGGAGTTATTGGCCAAAAACCTTTGATGACCTTTGATGACGTCACATGACCTCACAGCTGCCCAACAGCAAAACAGACCTCAAGGTAGTGAAGGTTGATCGTATATGAAGTCATGTATGGTATATGGGGCCATTCCGACCCGTTTCAGTGGTAAAAACAGGGAGTTGATTTTTCCCCCATTGACTTATAATGGGGAGGTCGCGAAATTGACCTGACCTTAGGTCACCGATATCAAAATTCCGAGATATACAAATTGTAGCTACTAATGACCTAATAACATCCTGCGACTTTCAAAGGCCTCCGACATCTACTGTAGCTCTAGCACGGTGACAAAGTTGCAAAAAAGTGACTTGAGGTAGGGTCATTCAAAGTGACCTGGTGACCTGACCTTAAAAGGTAGGAGGTTCAAACTTGCACACCATGTGTAAAATTGATGAGGGAATAGTCGTACCAAATTTCGCGGCGCTACGCGCCGCGGTTTTCCCGCTATTCGCGAAAAACCTCAGGGGGGGCGGATATCCGCCCCCCCGTCGGTGCGCGGGTTAAATATCGGTCTATTCTCGATGCACGAAAGAGACAATTAAGCAGTGGGCACCCAGGACCCACCGGGCGATTTATTCCCAGCTATCAGTGTGGGAGTGCATCCCATATCGTGAAAGGCTGGGTGTATTGCGCTCAAATTTGTTGCAACGTTGGTGACCGATTAGGAGGGATAATAGTAGAAAAGGAATGGCAACAATACGGATGTTATCTGCATTTGACGGTGCTTCTTTTTCAGTCGGTTCCGTCGTCGAACAACACCCAGGAAGAGGCGCAGGATGTCGATGATGTCAAAACTGCAGACAATAAGAAAGGTGGGTGATACTGATTTCTGACCTTGATTACTTGCTATAGTTCGTTTTTTTTTTCAAAAGGACGCTGGCTCAAAGTTCAATATCGAAGCTCTCACGTGAGTTTTGGCGGCTTCAGTGTCTGGCCAAGAATTTCTTACCGAAAAAAAAACGATTTCAAATTGTGCACGGTAAGTGGCTGGAAATTGTTTCTTAAAAATGAACATACTATGATGACGTCACTGGTGGCAGCCGGCACCCAAATGTCCGTGCAATGGGACAAGTGTCAACGAATTTGGGTGAAACTTAGTTTTTCACTGTTGCCGAGCTTATAATCGAGTAAGCGGTTCCGTCCATGATAGTTATACGTTACATTGCAATACATGTTCGACAGCATGACGTCACCACTGTTCTCATATCTGGTTCCAAAACACACATATGGAAATTATCGGGAAGAAATCACATGTTAAAATTAGCCGACGTTCGATTTTCTCAGGCTCAGTTTTTGCTCGTTTTGCTCGCTAAAACACGTGCTTGTTCGAAAAACATACTTTGAGCCAGCGTCCCTTTTGAAAAAAAAACGAACTATAGCGCATGTCTTGAAATGCGCTATTTTTTTTCTTTAATTCGCCGTACGCGCTTAAAACGGGTCTGCGTTAGGTTAGGTGATTTAGATTAAAAAGGTGGATGATTTTGCATCGTTTCGATTAATTTCTTTGTGGTTCTGCGTTTGAGTTCACTTTACATGATTGCAGTAGATTAATTTAATGAATACGAGTATCGGAATACCTACTTGTATGCCAGACATACCTTACCTTACCTTACCTTAGAAGTACACGGAATTTTGAGGCCAAGTGGCAGGCCTATTGGACCGGATCATTACTTTTTACATACATACATTACATACATTTATTACATACATACATTTTACATACATACATTACATACATTACATCATTACATACCGGACATGCTCATTTTAAGCTGGCTATTTTTTCGCCAGATCTGTATAAACTATAAGGAGCCTAAATCCTGCTGCAATCTGTGTCAGTGAAATTATTTTTATGGTGGCAGGTCATTAGGTGCTTTCCAAATCGTCCATATTTTAATAGTCATGTGGGCTCATTTTTGTATACTCCAACAGGCAGTGCATTGAGCAAGCTGATGAGCAGATTCAAGAGAAAAAAGCTTGAGACAAACAAAAAGAGAAAAGGAGATGAAAAGACTGCGGAAAAAGATTCAACGGAAACCGAAAATCAGCCCGAGGGAATTGTACAGCGAGGTGAGATGAGATATAAATCACCCCACTTCATTTCAATAAACTTGCAGGCGCTTGTTAAATGCTTGCTTTTTATGTGTGTGCTTTTAGTGCGTTTTGACTTGACAAAACATTTGAACCAAGCCAACCCCAAATGAACCATTTGTCTTTGCCTGTATTGACTTTTATTGGTGCGTCTACGTAAAAGTGTTAAAATGCTGATGATGAGATAACGTTTCTTGTCAGTTGTAATAGCCGAACCATTTTTTTTTTTTCGCCACCTGCCGTCTGGCTGTGGTGTGTCCTGCCCTGCGCTATAGCGTGTCCTGTCCTGTCGGACATGACCCACGTGTCCCGCGGGCTGATAACCTGGCTGGTGTCCTGGTGACCCATCTGGTGACCTGGTGACCCGTCTGGTGACCTGGTGACCAGTCTGGTGACCTGGTGACCCGTCTGGTGACCTGGTGTTGCGCCGCAGTGGTGGCGGTGGCCAGTGCCGACCCTGACACTGAGGACAGTCGGCCGGCCAACCCGTCACCGGCCTCTGAGCGGCGGCGGCCGTCTGTCAGCGCCGACACGCCGCCCCCGCCCCCGCCGCCGCCCCCGCCCCCGCCCGCCGCAGCAGACAGCCCGGCCGACCAGCCGCCACCGGCCGAACGGCCCAACGCTGAGGAGGAGGCGACCAAGAAGAAAAGGAAAAGGAAGGCGATGGTAAGTATCACTATCGCGAGTTGGTGTTATACACGTACCGACCATACTTTTTCATCGTCTTTGTTCCATATTTCTTGAATAAGAGAGCTTTATTAAGCTTAGAGACCAAAAAGTATTAAAAACTTTCTTATTCCTACAGCATAACCACATTTATGTAGATAAATATACGCTTAGGCACTAGTTTGCTTGCAGAAGCTGAATTGCAGGCTTAAATATCTTATTAATAAGCATCGAGTCAAAATAATTTTGCTTTGCATTGGTTGTCTGTGGTAACAATATTGATTAACCTATCAGAAACGGACAGATTAAACGTTCCACAATAGTGTATAACCTCTCAGAAACGGACAGATTAAACGTTCCACCTGATCGAAAGTAATTGTGAGAGTCTTACTCCAATGCCAAACTTACTACTATTGCACACCTGATAACACTTTTTACTGCACATTGGTGCAACAGATTGTATAACCCACCCAAAATGTTTTCAGTCGAAAACTTGTGAAATCGTCTAGCGCATGTATCAAGTGTTTGCAAGACGGCAATTCTGCAAGCCAATTGTTACGGTAATGTTGAGAATCACTGAATCCATCCAACGGATAATAGCCCTCCCAAGGAAGAAACAAGATGCAGCGCTCATCCGTCCTCGAACTCAATGAAGCCCACCTCCCAGCATCATGTCACAAGCACAACATCATATATACAGAACTAAATCACAACATTATTATAGCATCACAGTATCACATTATAGTGATCCATTGCGTTCGTTGTGTTCCGCATTTGTATGAAGTTGATAGTATCTATATGTATTTTGTACTGTACATTTATATGTGCGAGTCTTGAATATTCATTTGAAAGGGTCTGGGCAACGACATGTAACTATACCTGCCATTTAAAATATGGTATCATTTTACTTATTTGGGAGTATTTGTACGTTTTGAAATTAAGACGTTGTGGATGTTTTGTGGTAAGTGTATGTGGTTTTCATGTAATCCATTGTGTGACGAATAGATTGATTAAAATTGCTTAGGCACATAGACCTCACTACATCTATCAAGAGAACGTAGCTGAGAAGAAAAATGACGCACGAAGAGCTTGTTATGGTGGCTTGTGGACTTTGAAATCTAAATCGACGCCTTAGAAGCATTGAATGTATTCATCGGTGCAGGAATAGCTCTCGTCGAATCACACAAAATGCCTTATCACCTCTCTGCCTGTCGCCTGAGCTGAATCATCATTGTGACGGTGGCCATCCATTACAGTCCTGTACCTGTCCAATGTAGATCTGAGGCCAGTTTTACCAACAGAAAAATAGCCGCAATTTTTTGCCTAAATACCGCTTCACATATGAAGCATAAATGGTAAAGCCCTATCCGCTAACGTGCCCATCGCGTTTACGTTCCGTATGTGAAGCCTGAAGCGGTCTTAAGGCAAAAAAAAAAAAAAAAATCCGGCAGGCGGCTATTTTTCTGTTGGTAAAACTCGCCTCTGCATCTATTTATTTGAAAGCACACCGATATGGCATTGGCAGCGCTTTGGAAGTGGTTAAATATCGATATCAACTGTTATTTGATTTATGATTCCTTGATTAGCATAATTTAAACATACATATTATTCAAAACGTAACTATTTTACCCATTCCTGTTTTTGGCAATTATGCATTTGTGTGCCATTTATTATACATGCAGCAGATAGTTGTGATTGAATATTAATACTTATTCCTTTTTATTGTCCTACATTATTTTATTATTCATTCACCGCTGTCAATGTGGAGTGTAAAGCTGAATGCGAGACATGTAGAACCAGTGCAGTGGTGAGATAATTATGCTGAAGTGAAATAAGCACGTACGTACAAAGCAGGACCACAGTCTGCGTGTAATGTTGCGCTGCTGGAAGCAATGTTACGTCGCTGTTGCCGCCTGCTCGTGAATTAGGTGTGTTGATGCTTATATGTGTGGTGTTATTACCGTCGCTTGGTGTTTCCTGTGTTCAGGTCTTGGATAGTTCTCAGCGGCTAACTTATTGAGCAATTGTGGTCAAATGCACTATTTATAATGAGCGAAGTGTCGCTCCGTTTCACATAGCTCGTCTATACGTCTCATGTTCTCGACCAAATGTTGGTTGTCAGTTTAATAACAAGCTTTACATGGCAAATCCTAGATCAATGTTTTTCTTTCAAATACATGCGTAGTGAATTGTGTACTAGATAAGTAGGTACCTATTTATATTACGTAAATTTCTTCACAAAAAATGTTTTACGTGGTGGGATCATATAAACCCTTCTTTGTTTTTAAAGCGTTAAGTCTAAGTGTATCTATATTACATAATTTGTACTTGGTTTATCATTCAATGTTTATGTTCATCAGCTTCGCCTGATCCATAGTGCCTTTGTTTGTTTCGCTAGTCCTTGAAATCTGTTGGTACCTGTAGGTACATGCATAATCATTTACGAATATTACAAAATTTTGCAGAATAACCTAAAAAAGCTAGAGGTTGATTATGCAATGAATTTCGTGTGCCGCAAACAACTAATCAGCTGAGGCGCTAAACGCCCTCCTCTTATCCCATCCCCGTCAGGTAATGGTGGGCTAACGACTCATGTTGTGACATTTGTATAAGCGCAAACATGCATACAGATGCACGCGACGACCTATGCATTTAGGTAGTACCTTTCTCAATCAGAAACAAACGTAATCACAAACCGAAACGATTAATTTAATCAGGTCAAAAATGTATTTCTAAAAAAAAAAACAGACCATCACTTTTACATATGTTCTCCTATATCCCAGTGAGCACGGTTATACAGTGGATAAGGAGAAAAGCCATGACACCTTTTTATTAATGGTTACGCATTACATATTTAACGGCACAAAAAGGAATGTCACGAGTCAGCGTCAAGATATGTTTATGTAGCTCTTCGAGGCCCTGCACGGGGGCAGTGAACTATACCAATTAACCATCATTAATGTGCAAGTAAATGTCATGCCGGAGTTGGTCCGGTCATGAGGCGAGCTCTGGCTATCACAACCTCAGGCTGGTACAGGCGGCCGTCAAATGCACTGGTTCAACAACGCTAAGGGCACCTGAGCTCCAAACATCGGACGCAGCAACAGTCTCTTGCCCTTCTGACGCTGCGTGCAATGCTCCCTAGACGACGATGTAATCTGAAAGAGAAGATAATTTTCCAGTCAGGTAAGCTGTTGCGCACTGCCCAGTGTGCTGTGTTTCCCTATGCATGGAACCTGCACGTATTTACTTTAGTGATTGCTACTGCAGTTATTGCTTAATGAAGGAGAAGAAGTATGTGGCTGGGGCTTAACGGAGTCTTATTGTTCTCTTAATTATCTCGTATAACATTGGCGGATCCGTAAACGTACGTCATTACGTCGTAACAAAAAATGTCAATTCCGTACATACAAACCAATAAAAGGGGTTTCTTTCGTTAAAAGGCGAAGTCAACAAAACGAAGGAAATTATTAAAAGACGTCTTTCAACCACCTCGAGGTTTCTTACCTTGTCTGCGGAATTTGCCGATCCTCATCTTGTGGGCGGTGACGACGCCCATTATAACCAGGATGACGGCTGCCGTGCCCATCACTATGAGCGTGACACCCATCATCGTGAGGCTGTTGCTGCGTCCACCGCCAGCCCCCGAAACGTCGGCCGATGCGCGCATACGCCCGCCGTCGTCGTGGCCGTGGACTGGTCTGTTGTAGGTTTGACCGTCGCCGTGGCCGTGGACGGCACTCTTGTTGGTTTCACCGTCGTCATGTCCGTGAACAGAAGAGGAATCACCATGGCCGTGTACGGGACTGTTGTTGGTTTGCCCGTCGTCATGTCCGTGTACGGGGCTGTTGTTGGTCTCACCGTCGTCTTGCGCTGAAGACGAATCGTCGTGACCGTGGACTGGACTGTTGTTAGTTTGACCATCGTCGTGCCCGTGGACGGGACTGTTGTTGGTCTCACCGTCGTCGTGTCCATGGAAGATGTCCCAGATGGATTTGAGGATGGCTCGACTGCCTCCGCCGTTGTTGTGGCCGTGCATGTCACCGGCATACGTGTTTCCATCATCATGGCCATGGACGATGCCACTTCCTGACGTACCGCCGTCATCATGGCCTCCATTGTAGGTGTTACCGTCATCATGTCCATGAACCTCTCCGTTGTAGGTGTTTCCATCATCGTGTCCGTGAACCTCTCCATTGTACGTGTTGCCGTCATCGTGTCCATGCACTTCGCCGTTGTACGTGTTGCCGTCATCGTGTCCATGGACCTCTCCATTGTACGTGTTGCCGTCATCGTGGCCATGGACTTCTCCATTGTAGGTGTTGCCGTCATCCTTACCATGCAGGTCTTGTGCCGAAAGTCTCATGATGCGTCGTTGTCCTCTCGTATCTCCGTCATGTTTGCTTGACTGGAGTTTTTTGTTTCCCGAAGAGTCGTCCAACTCCAGACCGGAGTCGTTTCCGTTTGGCTCGATAGTGCGAACACGTACAGGAAGCTTGCCGTACTGATACGTGTTGCGGAAGGTTCCAACGTCATTGATGTAGGTGTTGCCGGACATGACGATCATCGGCACCGCCTTTGGGATGTTGTCGAATCCTCCGTGCTTGTCCTCAGAGTCCTTCCAATCGTCGTGCGCTTTAGTACTGGGATCGGCTTTGTCCATGGGGGCACCAAGAAGATGAGTCAAGGCCTTATGGACCAGCTTCGGTGGCTGAGGCTGGCCTCCGATCAGCGTGCTGTTCTGGTAGCGGAAGTCACGGATGTATGAAGCAAAGTTGGCAATGGCTCCAGGAGAGGGGGCAGGCGCCTTAGTACTGGCATCAGCCTTGTCCATAGGAGCACCGAGAAGATGACTAAAGGCTTTAGGGACCACCTGTGGTGGCTGCGGCTGGCCTCCGATAATTGTGCTGTTCTGATAACGGAAGTCGCGTATGAATGAAGCGAATTTGGCGATGGCCCCAGGCCCAGGCTTTGAAGCCCTGAGGACATGGTCCCCAGTCGGCTTTCCATCCATCTGTCCGGGGCGCTCATTTAGAGCCGTGTCGTCGGCGACGCTGCCGTCTTCGGCCAACTTGTCGTGGAGCTTCTTCAAGACGTCCTCCAGCCAGGTGAAGTAGTCTGTGCCGTTGCCGAACACGTCAGGTCCGCCACCTTGCGGGATGGACGGATCGCCGTCGCTGGGAGAAGGCGCTGAAAGCTGCATCAGACCGCTGAATTTATCATTCGGTCCAGCGCTTCCCTGGTCGTCGCCTGTCGTTTTCGCGTTGTCGTCCTCTGTCTTATCATCGTCCTTGGGGAACTGCTCGTCTCCGCTGTCCTGACTGGTGTTGTTGGCAATGAACTGATCGAGGTCGTCACCATTGACGCCAGCGTTCTTCATCTCCTTGGCGATGATGTCGGCGATCATGTCGGCCAGCTTGTCGAGCGGCACCTTCTCGCTGTCGTCGCCCTGGCTGCTGCTCAGGAGGCGCTGCTTTGCGAAGGGCGATTCGCCGCGGAAGCTGGAGTTCTCCATGATCTGCATGTTGACGCCGTCCATGTTGATCACCGTGCTCATGAGCTGCCAGGGGTTGAAACCGAAGCCTCCCGCATCGTCTGCTCGCCGGCTGCTCTTTTCGGCAGCCACCACACGAGGACCTGTAAAGGCAGTAGGTAAATATTAGAATATGTAACTACGAGGAAGCCACATTGAAGAGCAAAGGTGGTACCAAAAGTATGCGAACAGGTCACACCATTTTTATCATGCGTCTTTAATGTAGTTTGTATTTAAGCACCTGAGTAGTTTATGTCGCCATGATTTATGTGGTAGGTAAAATAAGACTTGAAATGCAACGTGAAAGTCTACTTGTACACCATCAACTTACAGCAAAAATGCCTTATCAGATCATCACTTGTGAGGTCAGGCTCATGCAATCTGCATGTGAGTGACGGAAAGAATGCGCCTTGAGCCCTTGAACACCCAAAGTCGCGGGTTTTGGTGCTTAATCATATTTGGCTGGTGCTGGTCACTGTTGTATCAAAGGGAATTTGGGCATTTAAAGCATTTACCCTCCAGCAGCGTCCAAAAATCGCTTAGATTTTTCTATTTCCAAGCCTGGATAGAAAGCGTATCAAATTTGATCATATTTTTCTTTTAATTGCATACTTGGATTCATACAGCAATACAAACATCATTATTTCCTGAACGTGTCGGCTTTAATCTTTATGGATAGGAAGTAATCCAGTGAGTTACGGGTGACGATATCACACCTTTCAAAAATGCTTCTCTGGTTTTCATATTGTGTGGTATCCTTCGTTTAATAATGAGCGGAAGACAAGGGTGGTGAAATATGTCAGGCCAGTCTTTCGAATGAGCAAGATAACGTTTTTCAGACCGGCTTGGACTTCATCAATAATGAGCCATAGAACTCTTTGCAGAAGCATATTTAGTTTCAGGATACGGTTAGATAGATTAGTTACAAAATATATTTAATGTACCAATAAACATTCCATAGCGTATACATTTTCCGGGCATCCAACCAATCAGAGCATACGACGTGCTTCATGGCAAATCAAAATGGAACGTCCCTGCCAAGATTTACATAAATTGTTCTATGATACACACAAGCGGTTAGCGCCACTCTTCCGCATCGCGGTTCTCAGTTCATTTAGGCTGTAGACTGGCTCAAACATGCGGCCGTAATGTGACGCTGGACATAGCTTATTAACTAAAGCCTCGTGGAAACCTGAGCCCGGCACGGCTCGGACGATTATAATCACAAACACATGTCGATAGCTGGCAGCACAGCGATCCGCTCCCAGCTTTCGTTTCCTGACGTCCAATCCCACAGAGGATTCTCTTCTGCTTTGCCCTCACAGCGTCTCTTAGACGACGATGTAGTCTGCAGGCAAAGAACATGGTGTCATCAGTTAATGTGTACGTGGTAACAGCAATTTCCGATCATACGTTACTAGTCAAGTTCTGCCAAGTTCAAAATCGTTATCGTTTTTTTTATTCAGGCCCCCCTCCAACGGGCACTTGTGGCCCAATTACAGGAGGGCTCCTCCTCCTCCTGGCCCTTGTTCCCCCACCCCCCAGGCTACGGCTGAAGTGGGAGCCTACCCACACCTGGTGACACAGCCGGGGACGACGCCCGCGGAACGGGCGGAACCGGGAATCGAACCCGAAACCCGGCACCGCCCGCACCGCGGGTCGACGCCTTAACCGACTGCGCCACCAGGGCCGTCGACTGCGCCACCAGGGCCGTTCAAAATCGTTCAAATTGTGTCAACTTATCATGCATAGCTCTTCCCACATCATAAAAGAAGTGTGATTTTATAAATATAGAACAGACAGCGAGCATCTTGCCCATCGTTTGTCACATCTCACCTTGTCTGCGGAAGTTTCCAACCCTCTTCTTCTTTGCGACGAGGAGGCCAACAGCTACGCTCATCACCACTGCCGAGCCGAGAGCTAGCAGCGTGACGTGTAGCATCGTGAGACTGCTGCTGTCTTCGCCGCCACCTCCCGCAGCGTCTGCCGGTGCTCGAAGACGTCCGCCGTCGTCGTGACCGTGAACGGAGGAGATGTCATCATGTCCATGCACTGAGGAGGAATCGTCGTGACCATGGACGCTGCCACTGTAAGTGCTCCCGTCGTCATGTCCGTAAAGCGCTTGGGACAAGAGCTTCATGATCTGTTCACGTTCCTTGATATCTCCATCGCGTTTACTTGACTGGAAGCTGCTCGTAAAAGAGTCGGCCAGCTCCAGGCCGGATTCGAGTCCACTGGGCTCACTTGCAGGCACATTTCCGTACTCGTGTATGTTGCGGAAGTTTCCGAGATCCTTGATATAGGTGTTGCCGGACAGGACGAACATCGCCTTTGGGATGCCTTGCCTGTCCTCAGAGTTCCTCCAGTCCTCGTACGCCCTAGCACCAGGGTCTGTGTCCCTAGGTGCACCAAGAAGATGGGCGATAGTTGCCGGGTCGAACTGAGGCTGCTGGGGCTGCTGAGGCTGCTGAGGCTGTTCGCCGCCAGGTCTGGACGCTCCCAGAAGTTTTAGGAATATGTTGGGATCGAGCTGCGGCTGTTCAGGCTGTTCGCCAGCAACAGTGGCGTTTTCCCTGTCATTGGTCTGGTTTTGGAACGCCTTGATGGCATCGATCAGCTCTGCAACAAATGATGGGCCGGGACCGAGAATGCCCTTATTCTGAGGGGGACCGAACAACTTGTCAATCCACTTGGGATCGAGCTGCGGCTGCTGCGGCTGCTGCGGCTGCTCTGGCTGGGCTGGCTGCTGCGGCTGTTGTGGCTGAGCTGGCTGCTGCGGCTGCTCTGGCTGCTCTGGCTGCTGCGGCTGTTTTGGTTGTTGCGGCTGCTCTCCTGATTTTGATGCACCAAAGAGGCGTGCAATGATAACAGCAGGATCGATCTGCGGCTGCTGTGGCTGCTGCGGCTGCTGCGGCTGCTGCGGCTGCTGCGGCTGCTGTGGCTGCTGTGGTTGCTCTGGCTGAGCTGGCTGCTGTGGCTGCTGCGGTTGCTGTGGCTGCTGCGGCTGTTGTGGCTGCTGCGGCTGCTGTCCTGGCCTTGTCGCGGCGAAGAGGCGTATAAATGCAGCAGGATCGATCTGAGGCTGCTGTGGCTGCTCTCCTGGCGATCTTGGTGCCCCGAGGAGGCGGGTGATCATGGCTGGATCGAACTGAGGCTGCTGAGGCTGCTGAGGCTGCAGCGGCTGCTGAGGCTGCAGCGGCTGCTGAGGCTGCTGAGGCTGGCCTCCGATAATCGTGCTGTTCTGATAGCGGAAATCGCGAATGAATGAAGAAAATTTGGCAATGAGTCCAGGGGAGCTCGGCTCAGACCCCGACTTTGAAGCGCTAAGGACATGGTCCCCAGTCGGCTTTCCAGGTCGCTCATTCATAGCTGTACCGTCGGCGACACTACGGTCTTCGTCCAACTTGTCGTGGAGCTTCTTCAAGACGTCGTCAAGCCAGGTATAGTAGTCTGTGCCATTGTCGAAGACATCAAATCCGCCGTCTTTCTGCGGGGATGACAGAAATCCGGTGGGAGACGAGAGTCGCAGGAGATTTTCACCCTTTACCTGCGATTCGCCTGCTGCTCTTTTGCCTTCATCGTCCCTCTCGTCAGCGCTTTCAGGGTACTGTTCGTCTCCGCTGTCCTGGAGGGTCTGGTTGGCGAGGAGCTTATCCAGATCATCGCCATTGATTCTGGCTTTCTTTAGTTCATTTGCGATGAGTCCAGCGACCATCTCGGTCATTTTGTCGTAGGACGACATTTTGCTGTCGACGTTGAGGCTGCTGATGACACGGTGGTCGCTCTGGTCCTCGGAAGGCGACTGCCCGACGAAGGATGGGTTTTCCACGATCTGCATGCTGATGCCGTGCATGTTGATGACGTTCTTCATGCCGCTCAGATACGTCGCGTCATTATTCCGGGGGCTATTGTGTTCGGCAGCTACAGCTTGTGGACCTGGAACAGAGAAGAAATGTGAGGGAGCTTGGTGCCATCAGGCAACACCGGCATGCCTATCAACGATGTAGAACTAAGACTTTGAATGGCAGTGGTGAAACATTGGAGGACAAATGCTAACTTTTTTCTATTATTTTCATGAGGTCATTGAACAATAACATATACACACGCACGTATACAAAAAGAAAACGCATGCGACCAGCATGCAAGGAACATTTTCCCAACACGCCACGAATTCGATTGCCTACTGGCAGTTTAGTGCGGTCAGGTTAGTGTGCTACCAAAATGTGCCTGCCAAGCCAAAAATGTGCCAGTACTTGGCAGCACCAGTCACCCAGGGAACCTGAGAACCGCCCAGAGCAGTCGCGACGAACCGATATCTCTGTTTATAGCAACTGCAACAGAACCGCATTCGCATCCGAATGGTTTCGCAACAGCTGGCTCTTCTGGCATGGAAATTAGTGGTCCAGTGTCACCAAATCTGCACATCCAACATCCAGGGCTTGCATATCCAGCATTGCTTTGCATGACTCATATGTGTGTCCGGGACCAAAGGTAGGGGCGCGGGAACAACTTTCAGACGGGGGGCATACCATAATAGTGATCAACCTAGGGTACACGGAAATTTACTTTTCTCACTGGTTTTAGGCCACTTATTTTCCATCACTTGGCTCTTTCAACAAAACAGAAAACATTTGCAAAAAGCAGTGCTTTATTCCGTCTCAAAGTTATGGGGGCACCGCCCCCCACGGCCCCAGAGTTGGGGGGGGGGGGGCAAGCTGCCCCCACGCCCCCCCCCCCTCCGGTTCCGAGCCTATGGCCCAAGGCAGCACGGTCGTGTTACGTCCAGATGAACTTGGCAGCCGGAATGGGTCGAGTCCAGACAATTGCATCGATTGCGGAACTGTCGCTATTGTGGCTGTGGTGGGAGGAGAGAGGTTGTGGCGCCATTTTAAACACTGGGCACATCATGCCCTGGACATTATGAAACACGGCGTGAATTGATGTTTCCCGTAATATCCAGTTTTGCTAGGTGTATAGGAAAACCGCGTCGTGTGACTTGACATGGGCAATAGGCATAGCGTATGACACACTAACCCTAGGTCATTTAAGGTCAGGTCACCACACCAAATAAAATGGCTCTGCTATTATCACTTTTTTAACCACA